TCCCCTAAACCATGATGGTGAACATTCTTTGTTTTCAGCTCATTTGAAAGTTGTTTTGAGACTCACATGCTTCCACTCTTCAGAGAAGATGCAAAGAGGAGAAAAACTTACTATTGCCCCCCTGGGGTGGCTGTGGTAGAGTGGTTAGGGGAGTTGTCCTGGAACCGGAAGGTCGCCAGTTCAATCCCCGTCCAGTTGACTCAGTCATTGTGTCCCTGGGCAAGACACCTTACCCGCCTTGCCTACTGATGGTGGTCAGAGGGTCCGGTGGCGCCTGTGTATGGCAGCCTCACCTCTGTCAGTGTGCCCCAGGGCAGCTGTGGCTACAATTGTAGTTTGCCAYCAYCAGTGTGTGAATGTGTGTGTGCATGGGTGAATGACTGTAGTGTGAAGCACTTTGAGTGTCCTAGATGGATAGAAAGGCGCTATATGCGTACAGTCTATTTACCATTTAAATACCCTTTCTCATAATTGGAGTCACCTTTGTATGGGAGTTCAAGGGTCACTGAACTTACCAAACCAAATTTAAGTTCCAATAATTAGTTCTAAAGGTTTTGAAATCAATAAAATGACAACAGTGCCCAAATTTATGCACCTGCCTAATTTTGTTTAACCAATTATTGCACACTTTCTGTAAATCATATAAACTTCATTTCACTTCTCAAATATCACTGTGTTTGTCCTCTACATGATATTTTTAACTGATATTTTTAATCCAAACAAGCAATGATTTATAAAGGTAAATCAGGAAAATTAACAAGGGTGCCCAAACTTTTTCATATGACTGTATAAGCTTCATACAGGGAGGCAGAGCAGAGAGAGGGAAGGTTAGAAACAGATAGAGAGAGCAATCAGAAACACAGGGGGTTATAAATCAYGTCAGATGCTTCTGAGAGCAGCTGTATTTACTGACACTCAGTTGATACTGCTTTTTAAAATAATGGAGTTATAAACTAGAAAAGGTTTAATTTTTGGTAAAAGAATGCAAAGCAATCACACCTAAAACAGTCCTCATCCTTACTCCAAAGTATCTGAAGATTCCACTACATTCTTTAAAAAATACACCCAATTCCTCCAAATGCTTGTCATTTCCAAAGTTCAATAAATTAATGAATACAGTACAATACGTTTTCTGTGAACACCTCACTGATTTACAGACAAAACCGTAGAAATAGGCCAAATTAGCAAAACATTTTTGAAAGATCTAACGAGCTCTAAATGCATAAAGGTAAATAATTCAAAACATATAAAAGTTACAAAGCTCCAAAATCTCACTCATAATGACCAGAACAAACTGAACATTTTCATACCTGCGTGGTTGAAATTTTGCTCAAGTGAAAGTAAAGTACTGACTCAGCATTCACAGATTAGCACAT